CTCCCGCCGCGCCCGACGCCCCCAGCGCCGCGCCCTCTCCCCGCGCGCCCCTCCTCTCCGCCTCCAAGGCCCTCCCCTTCCCCACCGCTCCTTTCCCACCTCCCCTCGCCCTCGCCGCTCCCCCCACCCCGCCCCAAGTCCCGCAGCAACCCCGCGCCCTCCCTCGGTGCGCCGGCGCCCGCGGGCGTCGCCGGAGCGGCAGCCTGGAAATGGGAGTGGGGAGCCCCGCGAGGGGTTCGGCCCGGCCGGCCCGGGTCACCGCTCCCAGGCTCTTGCGCATCCATCCATCCACCTCCCACCCCACCTTCATCCAATCATCCATCCTCTCTTCCTTCTTCGTTCCATTCATCCATCCTGGGGGGAACTGGAGCGCTTAGGAAGGGACCCCAAGCTTTTTGGCCACTTGTTTCAAAAGCAATGAAGCTGGAGACAACGCCCCTTTAAGAATTAAGGGGGCATCGGAGCCATGCCCGTCTTAGCTGGTTTGGGGAGCAGGGAGTAAGGCCTATGATTTCTGAGAGATTTGGGCTGACTCTCTGTCACTAACATCCTTTCCAGTTCTGCGACTTCGAACTTTGCTCTCAAGAAAGAAAAAGAGAGCCAGGAATCAAAGGGCATCCGACATGGCACACTCTCTGCATGGGGCTGGAAGGCGTGGCTGGTTCCCTCCGAGCCTAGGGGCGGCCTTAACGTTCCCGGGGTCCACCGCCCAGCCGGCGGCTTTTCATTCCTTGGTGCACGCTCAGCTCCTGTGCTCCATGTGAGCACGCTAGAGCCCAGGCCTGGGTGGGCCAACCAATTTACCTGTCCCAAAGAAGCCAGAACACTGTAAAAGAAGGAAACGGCCTTAAAGAGACACCTAAGAAAGGAGAAGGTTGGAAGAATAAATCCTCAATGACCAGGCTCTGCCAAAAGAGAACATGGTGTTGAATAAATATTGTTTTCATTCATTCAACATATGTTTACTAAGTACCTATTATGGCAAAACACTGCTGGTAGATATAATACCCATCTAATATGTTGTGTGTATTACCCATTGTATATAGATTGTAGTGTGTACTGTTTAATACATCTTATAAAGTCTACAGAAGATAGGTATAGTATTCATTACATCCTATACAATGTATGGGACGTAGGCCATAGAAAATTGTCTATAACATTTAGTATGTAGCATCCAGTAGATAGGCCAAGTCCAGGGCATTCCTGGCACATAGTAGGCCCTCAATAAACATCCACTGAATGATAAATAATCATTTTGTGGTAATTCAATTCACTTTAATTATTGCAATTTGGGCTAAAGAAGATCCAGTTTAGGGCAGAGCTGTTAGATATCCTTCTGGCTGCACTAATCAGAATCCGTAATGTAGGGCCGGCCCCGTGGCTTAGCGGTTAAGTGCACGTGCTCTGCTGCTGGGGGCCCGGGGTTGGGATCCTGGGGACGCACCCATGCACTGCTTCTCCGGCCATGCTGAGGCCGCATCCCACATACAGCAACTAGAAGGATGTGCAGCTATGACATACAACTATCTACTGGGGCTATGGGGGAAAATAAATAAATAAATAAAATTATAAAAGAAAAAAAGATTCCGTAATGCATAAGTGAACAAAGACCCACCAGCTAAGACCCGGGGCTCCTCTCCCTCATGCTGAGCCCAGGCCCAGGCGGGCCCCTCCCCTGCAGCTTTGCTTCTCCTTTGAAGGTGGCCACAGCAGGTCTCTTGACCCTCGTTCCAGCTGTGTGAGGTGGAGGTGGTGCAGTTATACAGGATGTGGTAGTGTCCCCAGCCCACTGGAATTCAGATGCCTTGTGCCTTTTTTTCTTTCCCCCTGAATATTTTGGTTTAAGAAGAACTAGCTCTCTGGGACAGAGAATTCTCAACATCTCTAGCGGAGCCTCTGCTTCCCTCAGTTCTAGGGTGAAGTGCTCCTTTCATAACCAGCTACTTTGTAATGTCATCACCTAAAGAGCAGTCCAAACAGGGGGCGGCCTGGTGGCGTAGTGGTTAAGTCACGTGCTCCATTTCTTCAGCGGCCCCAGGGTTGGCAAATTCGGATCCCAGGTGCTGACCTACGCACCAATTATTAGGCCATGCTGTGGCAGTGTCCCATATAAAGTAGAGAAAGATGGGCACGGATGTTAGCCCAGGGCCAATCTTCCTCAGCAATAAATAAATAAATAAATAAATAAATAAATAAATAAATAAATAAATAAATAAAGAGCAGTCCAAACAGAAAGAATGCCTGAGTTGAGAAGGTGCCAGGGAGTTCTAGAAAGTCAAAGAAGGTCCCTGGAGCTGGAGCATGGTGAGCAAAGGAAACAAGGTGAGCATGAGAGGAGGTGGAGGAGTAGGCTGGGCCAGTGCACTCATGGAAAGGACCATACATAGAAAGTGATTTGGTCTCTACCCTAAAAGCAATGGGAAACCTTGGAGGGCTTTAAGCCACACACTGCCGGCATCAGATCTGCTTTAGCAAACCATCACTAAACCGTCACTCAGGAGGCGGATGGAGAACAGGTGGCAGAGAGGCCAGAGAGAGGCGATGATGGAGGACGTGAGGAGTTGAGTGGATAGGATTGCTAATACTGAGGAGAGGGATACTAGAGGCGATCGTGGTGGGGTGGAGAGGTCTGGAAATGGCGGGTAGATGAAGAATACCCTTTGGGCTGACTTTGAGATGCCTGTGAGACTTTTGTTCACATATGTAAAGCACTTAGCTTAGTTGCCAGAAGGTAGCAAAAGTAGCTTTATAAATGCAAGTTTTCGTTATCACCCGGCTCCAAGTCTGGAACTCAAGAGAGAGGTCTCACTAGAAACATAAATTTCGGAGGCATCAGCATATGAAAGATATCTGAGGAAATGTCTCTGTTCCCAAATAACATGGCTTTTCCTGGTTTTGTTTTCTAGTGCTCAACCTTCCCAACTCCTTGCCTCCCCACTTCCAGCTCAATCTCTGCTGCCCCCAATCTGCTCCTTTTCCTAGGAAAAGCAGCTTATCTCTGTCCCAGCATCTGACTCCAAGTTTGACATTCCAACCACTGTGTAACGCTTTCCTCCAGTATGTCAGAGACTTGAAGGATGAAGATACTGTCCAAGCACACCTATGAAAGATCCTCCATTACCAGGCAGCGGAGGATAATAAATAATCATTTTTTCTTGTCACATATCCAAATTCAAAACAAGATATGTAATATATGTGCCACTTGGGAATGGGACCAGTTGACATTTTGCCAGTTACAGGAGACAGGAATGGAACTCTGCGTAAACCTGCCCCACGTTTCTGATTTCTTCCAGTGATGTTCCAGCGCCCTGTGTGGACTGGTGCCTCAGAAAGCTACTCTTCCAACCCAGCCTTCCTGAGGCTCCGGGAGGAGAGTGAAACTAAGAGAGCTGGAGCGGTGAGTGTGAAAAGACGGAGTCTCAGGAGGGTGTGGGTCGTCACAACCAGGTTAGGGAGCGGGTGCAGTGAAATTTTGACTATGTTGACTTTAAGCTGACCAGGTGACGTCCGAAAGGAGATGTCAAGTCAGCAGTCAGATAAATATAAAGCTGGAGCACAGAAGAGAAGTCCGGGCTGGGGCCACGGGAGTCAGTGAGATCCTAGGGAGATGGCATGAGAAGAGAAGGCTGGGATTGACCACGGAGGATGTTCAACATTCGGAAGGTGAGTAGAGGGAAAGGGCCAGAAAAGGAAATTGAGGTGAAACAGTCAGCAGAGAGTGGCGTGTCAAAGACTCCAAGAGAGGAGAGAGTTTCGACTGTGCATCTACACAATGCAGATCGCGTAACATGGGGACTGAGAAGTGGCTGTGGGATCTAACATCAGGGAGGTGAGGTGTGAGTAGAATGTTGGGCGTGGAGGCCAAACTGAAGTGGGTTCAGGAGTGAAGGAGAGGCGAGGAATTACACAGCAGTGTAGCAGCTGGAGGGAAAGGCCAAGGTAGGGTTTTTTTTAATTGAAGAAACTAGAGCACGTTTAGGGCTAAGGGAGGGAGTGAGGATCCTGAAGTGTGTAAGTTGGAGGGGGAGAGCCACAGAAGTGCGACGGGATTGGCCCCCATGGGAGGAGAGCACCTCTACTTGCACTATTGTAACAGGAATGGTGTGATGCTGGGCTGGAGGAGTTTTCAGATTTATAACTAGGACATTGAGAGTTTTCCAAAGGGATGGGTTTTATGCTCTCTGTGAAGTAAGAAGCAAAGTTAGCCATTGAAAGTGAGGTGGAGAGGGGGCTTCAGAGACTGAGGGAAATAGAGAAGGATTCTATCGCTGTTACAGAGATTGGGAGACTGAGCTGTAAGATCTGGGGGTCAGTCTTCAGCCTAGTGGAGGCCGGTGACTTCATTCTGCCGATTGTGGAGATTCCGCAGCATTGTTCAGCTACCTGGGTACAAGTTCCAGGTGAGTGGGGGTTCAGCCACGGCTGGGAGAAGATAATGTGCAAGGACAGAGGGGCCAGAAAGCGATTGAAATGGTGGCACATGGAACCCAGGCTGGATGGGAGGGAGCTGATGGGGGCAGGAGGGTGTGGTGAGAGCCATGGTCCTGAGGCCCATGGAGGTCAAGGAGCTTTCATTGCGGGGGCCCTCAGGCAGCAAGCTGCGTAAAGAGGGGGTGATGGCTAGAGCAGCAGCAGCAGGACTTTGAAGCCCCATGTAGAAGGAGCCCTGAGAAGTGCTGAGACCAGGCACCTGCTCATTCGATACCTGCGGACCGGCCTGAGGGGCCTGGACAAGACTACAAAAGGAAACCCACATACCGTTTATCTACGTCTTCAAAGTTTATAAACCAAGTTAACAAAC